CGTAACATCGATATGTCTCAATATTTTTTCTGTTGAGCTATTTTTGGTACTGTTAAACTGTCCTCTATATCCATGACTCATATCGTCAGAATAAAATGACCTATTTTCTCTAGTTCTATGACTTTTGATTAGTAAATAACAGCCGTTTTAATGTTAATTAATCTTACTTATTTCCATAGCAACTGTTAAAATTGCCTTATATCTATCAAAAATAGTAGATAAAATAGTACTTTAACCGCAAGGGTAGATTAAATGATACTTTAACAGCGAGGATAGGTTAAAAACTTTATTTCTTCTCGCACGTTTTTTAATTGCTTCCATTTTTGAAAATTTTTGTATTCCTTTTCATAAGTTATTCGGGATTTAAATGGAAGTACATAGTTTGGATATGGCGTTTGTCGCCTCAGCCTGAATATCTGTTGGTAATTTACTTGTTTCGTATTGAGCCATTTCTGGCTCCAATTCAATCAGCAATCGACACGAAAGAGAATTAAAAAATATTGACTCAAACCTGACAACTAAAGAGACAGCTTTATTTATTTATCAAATTACATAGAAACCAACACCAACCCGATAAAATTGCATTATCTTCTTGTAGCGTTTTTTAAACAACTACCACTGCGAACGGCAGCTTTTCAATGGAGAGCAGTCGTGGATAAGGTATTTCACTGGAAAGAAGACTAATTAATAACAATAAACAAAAGATATAGATGATATTGGGCGCCAGGCATGTACAGAGAAAGAAAACACAGTTGTATATTACTTAAAACTAATGACTATATTTCATGATGTTCTTTGCTGGTACATGACATTGTAGAATTCTAATAAATATATAGTGGTTATATGTCAAAAAAAATGGTGTTAAGAGTTGTACTAAATATCTATGAAAGTAATACCATTACAAGACGTAATGTAATGAAACCTAAGATCTAAATTATATTTTAAATAATATTAAATCGACATGAATGTTCTTAACAATCTAACCATTAAACATAGTCTGTACGATATTACTTAAGATGTACGTTATTGTTTAAGACTGAAAATGTTTTAAATGTTAAATGTAAAACTAGAACTTAAATCTACACTTAGCTGTTCTTTGTGTAATCTTGCTTCAAACAGTAGCAGCGTGAGGTGGTCTGGCATACCTGTACTCGGCCATCCAATACAACAAAAGGGGCCAGAATGAGGACACCATGAATTGGAACAGCCGTAACTACTAACTAGCTTATGGATGGGAACGAATCAGCATGGGGCTTACGCTACATCCATACTGTGGAAATATGGGGACACTACCCGTACCTTGGAACACTACTAGGACCTTGGATAATGCATTAACCTTGGAATCAATACATAGATGTGGGACACCTGCCCATACCTTGTACACAGTCCGTCCATAAGATAACGGTACAGGGGAACACTACCCGTACCTTGGATACTACTAGGACCTTGGATAGTGCCCGTACCTTGTAAATAGTCCGTACCTTGGACCCTAAAAATATGAAACTCTTGTTTAAAACCAAACAAGGTCTAATAAACAAAATAAACCTACCTCGAATTACTTCCGAGGGCTCAATAATAAACAAAGAAACTGTCCTTTCTTCCATGTAACATTCTGGAGGACAAAAGAAAAGGGACGCCAACGTGCCAGCAAAATACAAATACAAGTTAAGTTGGGACATCCAAAACTCTACCCTAAAAATATGCAGTAATAATATCGAATCTAAAAGGATAATATTTCATCTTTACCTGTAACTTCGAAATAGCAGCTGATTCAAATTATACAGCAAGATTTAAATAATCACCATTTCTAAAAGCCGGGATACAACAGAGCGGCAAAACAAAGTGATGTTAAGCACGGAGAGAGTTGACAGAAGCGATGTTGACAGCGCCTCCTCAGGGCGATAACAGGGTTGTGTCAAACGATAACAGGGTTGGCGACTAGGGAACGTAAAAATTACGCCAAGCGTGCCAAATAAATTATCAGGCCTGAATGATACGGAATCCGATGACGATACGCCAGACACCATATATATCATATATAAAAAAGACATGTAACGAACTAAAAACGTTACAGTCTCCCGAAATTAATCTTACATAAGAAGATAAAATACCATTTTATCGTCTTGTATAAAAAATAACTATTAATCCAACGTAGGTTCCTTTATTTCATTTAAATTGTTTGTTAGACAGTTATCCGTAATATTACCTCTTCGTATATGATATGATATTCTATTCAGATTGACATTTTCTATCGAATAAAGTAAAAAAATACCGAGGATGCCATTTAAAAATCAAAAGTCGTAGTCATTTCCGGTAAAACAGAAAGTGACCAAAAACAATTGAATACGTCATTCAATCCTAATTTATGCCATACACTAATATACCGAATCTCGTTTTCTTATCTGAAAAAATAAAAAAGTTATAGGGGTGAGCCACTTTTGAGTTGCACCCAGTATATCGTAAAATTTGAAGGACTTAAAAATTTCGTTGTGCCTAATTAAATTTTGAATACTCTGTACAATCTATGAGCGTCGTTCAGAATGCCACAGATTTAAAATAGCTGACTCTGTTTCTTGGGAAATATCGATACACAGTTATACAAATATCGATATAATTTACAGCAGTAAAACATTGATGGTAGACATCGATAGTTTACCATTGAAGCATCAACCCTAGTAAACCTCTAAACTGTATTACTTCCAGTAAAAAAAAAACAGACATTGAATCCCAAATCCAATTTTCTAACGGACCGACAATAGCATACAAACTAGCAATAAAATTAAGGGTTACCCCCTAAGAAGCAAGGGAACATCCCTAGCCAATAAAGGGCCTTTGTCGGTGAAAGGGCTATCGTAAAATTTAGTACAGGCCTCGTAGAGCACGCTGAGTTTAGCAGCTGATAGTTGTAAAAAAGTTACCGTTACTCAATCTCTATTTAGTAACGCGCAATAAACGAATAAGGTAACAGTGATGTGCTGGCAATATACAGGGTGATCCGCTTTTGAATCAACCTACTATTTGAATAATTCTTTTACTAAAAAACTTTATCGTTCTTGATGATATGTTTTAAAATAAATTTTATTTCTAAAAATATCGGAAGAACAAATTTATATAACATGTTTTATTGTAAGTCTACATAATTTAAAACGTTTTTAATTTAAAGGAATTAAATGATGAATATTAAGACCGGAGAACTACCAGATGGTCTTCGGCAAGTTTCCTGCTTAGGAAGAGAAACAGAGACAAAACAGGAAACGGTTAGTCACGTAAAGACTGAATTAATTAATTCATATAAAGCGTCAAAATGTGTATGGGGTACTTTTAGGCACGTAGGTAGACACATAAGTACCGTTGAAAAGAATCTTTGGCTTGAAATATATTTTATTTATTATATAAATAGTTTTTTGGGAGAAAATATTATAAGAAATACTGTATCTTGATTTGTGAATAAAATATGTTGTATTAACCGGTATATTTATTGTAGTTGGGAGTTGGAAACTATGTTAGTATCATCATAATATGATCCGTCTTGTTATGAGCTTCTCAAAAATATATCACTCTGTATTTATTTTTACTATATTTACTGCAATATTTAAAATATATCATTTTCTTATTAGTAGAAATAGATAACAAAAAAACTGGTAAAAATGGTAATGGTATTTACTAAAATAGTCATATACATATTAAAATTGTATATGAGACTGAAATAGTTTACTTTTAAACTGTTACCACTGAATTTCTCATTATATTTTTCTTCTTTTTTATAACGGGCTGGGTTAAGGGATGCAAATACCCAAGTTTTGTTAACGACATTGTTGTAGTAGCCACGATATATTTCATATTTCAAAAATCACTAGATACAGAAATCGAGAACGGACAAATCCGGTGACCAGGGAGGCCATAGTATGGCTCCATTGATCCCAATTCATTGATTTGGGAAATAGTCATTTACAAAATTCTAATATTTTCAGAGTTGTTATAGGGACACACTTGATGAAAGTATATTTCACGTAAATTAGCTAAAATATCTAAAATAAAAGTTCCGGTACGATAGCTTTCAAGATTTACAAATAGCGGTAGAGAGTTAAGTTTCTCTGATATATCTAAATATAAAGAATTTATTAGTGGCTTCAAACATAAAACAAGAGACAGATATCCAAAATAAAAAATAATAGATACAAGGGTATCCCGGTGAATTTTGTGTAGTGACAAATGATTGTTGTAATGTCCTGGAATTGATCTTTATGAGATTCCATCAAAGGTGATTTGAGTGACAGAGATTCTAAAAAAAGAAAGCAACGTATAATTAAGTTAGGTTGATTATTCTAAACAGCTACCTAAACAACGCGTTATCTGTAAACGATACAATTCTCCTTTTTGTCACTAATAACTATCATACACAATAAATTCCATTGTATTATTCAAAATAATGGAACGCGACAAAAATCATATAAAAATGTGTGGTTGATCGGGCTTATCCAGTCAATCTCGCCAAACACCATCTTTCGATGTCCATCTCAAATGACTTTCTATTGGAGAGAATTAATCACGTGGCAATAGCCTACCAGAAATGTATTTAAACTGTTAGCAATTCTTATAGAAATAAAATACTCTCGTGCTTAAAATAAATTTATTATAAGGACGTCTTATTGGAATAAATAGAGAAGCAACACTTTTCAAAAATAATAAGGCAGTGCCAGTTTATTTTGAACGTGTTTTTTTTTAAAACATAAATAGGGTTATAATTTTCAGCCTTTCATAGATTTTCAAAAAGACCCTGTAGCTCAGAAACGAAGAGAGCTATGAAAATTTTGTTTACTACAGCATCTTCCATTTGACAAAAAAGTGGTATAGTTTTATGCAAACCGCACCTTCCTATCTTTACTAATAACGAAGATACCGTATGATTTCAACCACAATTTTTTTTTCTTTTTGAATAAAATATATATGTCCAATAGAGTCACTCCACTCAATATCAATAATCCGATTACCTCTTACAGATTCTCACGGATGCCACTCACGTCACAGCCTCCAGACCACGTGACTGCGTACAAAAGACCGTCGCTCGCACTCCGTATCCCTTCGGGATCAGCAACGGTCGACAAAATGGATCCGAAATCCCAAGGAACTACAATCGACGGCACTGATTTGTCGGATTTGGAGATTTCGGCAGTCACGCAATGGTTGTACACGAAGGCAAGAATGGAATTAAATGTGGAGAAGATTTTCTGGAGAAAACGGAGAAAATTACGGGATTGGAGTGTGATATTTTGGCACTTATACGTATAGGATTCTGAAAAATATCCCGTTTTTAAAGATAGGTAAATTCACTTAATAGTCTTTTTTCCATAGCAACTGTTAAAATTGCCTAATATCTATCAAAAATAGTAGATAAAATAGTACTTTAACCGCAAGGGTAGATTAAATGCAAAAAAAGCAGTGCAAAGAAATTTCACATCTTCTGGGTTTAAAATTTTTGACTTTTTCCGTCTGTAACCGCTACATAACTGCTTCAAGAAAGCAGGCCTGGATTAAGGGGGGGGCTATGGGGGCTATAGCCCCAGGCCCCGTCATTGAGAGGGGCCCCCAAATTAGGAGAATTTAAAATCGAGATTCATAGAGTTAAATCGAGATTAGTTAAATGAAAATGTACATATATTACGAAAAATACCGATTTGTAACAAAAACCGATTTTTCGTCACATATTGTTATAAATCTTCAATTTATTACTAAAACTATATTTTAATAAGTAAAATAATAACTAAAACTGTGTTTTAAAAACAATAAAAAAATAAAATCCAGCCTGGAACACCTGCAACAGTGCAACAGAAATATATTTAGTCTTATTAAATATATTGCAACAGCCAACTTGTTATTCTCATAATGTCAAAAACAGACTCTTTTTCTTTTCTTTTTTGGGCGGCAAAACATTTTCCCAAAAAAATATCAAGATTGCTGCATAGACAATGGCTTGTTCTTTTTAAATGTTTCTGGATGGATGGATTACCGAAAGCCGAAAGCGCTAGGGGAATTACTCAGATTAGATTCCTCTTTTTTATGCTATTTGATTAGGTATTTTTGCATAGCGCATCTATGAAATAAGTGATTGCCAATAATAGATTTAAGAAAACAAGAACAATGATACGTTTTTGAATTGTGTAGTGTATACCAGTATTTTAAAAAATGTCATGTAGAAAATATCTTAGTGGATCTGCTAAACGTAAGGTAGGAATCAGTTTTAGCCTTATTACGCATTTACTGGATATGATCATTTATATAATAACTTTGGTATTAACAATTTAATTTACAATAACTTTCTTAAGTTTCTTCTTTTAAAAATAAGCGCATTAACATATAATAGGTACATACTTTCTCTGGGCCGCTTACAAAAGATAAAAAGACAAACGAATTGAAAAACTAAAAAGTCTCTCGTCATAAAGGCCATAAAATACTATTCCTTTTTTAAAAATAAACTTTATGAAAAATGAAAAAGAATTCCCGTATGCTCATAAAATATAAAAAATTCGAGAACTACTCCAATTTTGAAAATTGCTAAACAATACTCGTATTAATGAGAGATATTGATGTTTTAAGAGTTTTAAGCCTTATTTTAAGCAACATTTTTCAATAATATACAGTGTGTTCCGAAACTATTATGCCAAAATGTAAGGATTGGTAGATCTCGCCAAAATATTTTGAAATGGGTTACTAATGGTCGGAAGAGCGTCGTTTTCAAAATAGAAGGTGTTAAACTTTTAAGAAAAAATCTATACAGGTGGCCCACCGAAAACTTTCCACCCGGGTTTCTTGCTTGTAAATAAATAATTCGAAAAATGCTCGGACACGTCGATTTTGTTTTTCAGGGAGACTTATTTTTTGGTATTTGCACCCTCTTTGCTTGCACCCCTTTGACGGAGTAACTATCACCCTTAAAATTTTAAATGGAATAGGGGGTCGAGTGATACCTTGTTAAAAAGTCTTTTGAGTCTTTTTATATCTGTAGAGTTTGAAGTCTCTATTGCAATTCGCGTTGAATGGTACGCCACTACTTTTTAAATAAAATTAATATTATTTTTCAAATCCCCATTCAATTTACAACATATTTTATTTCTTGACTTTTTGTGTCCGACGCACCGTTTTCGCGTAAAAAATAAAAACCATTTTCATGCATGACCAAATCGCTAAAATGTTATCATAAATTTTAATAGCAAAATTTGTAAAACGGCAAATTTAAGTTTAAAAAGATTTTTTATTTTCCAAAAACTTCTTTCTATGAACATAGTACGAACTAAAATGCCCAAAACCTAAATTGTCGTTTTTCAAGTTTTACCATTAAAATTTACATTACCATTTTAGCGATTTGGCCATGTATGAAAATGCCGAAAATGGTTTTTATTTTTTTAAGCGAAAACGGTGCAATAATATTCAATTCAATAATATTTTGTTTAAGTACCGTAGGGTGGTATACAGTGGTGTAATAGATATTAAAAAAGATCGATTTTTTTTCACCTGTACACCCTGTATTTTGAAAACGACGCATTTCCGACCATCAGTTTTGGCGAGATCTACCTACCTTTAGATTTTGATACAATAGTTTCGGAACACCCTATATTTTTAAATCTACGAAAACTTAGGGATATTTTAAATTAATTTCAGATTCAAGAAGAAAAACTAATTAAGTGAAAATAACAGCAATGAGGAAAAAATAATCCGACCTGGGGGCCCCAAGGGTAGCCTATAGCCCCGGGCCCCCTAGGACCTTAATCCGGCACTGCAAGAAAGCTATGCGCTTGTTATATCTACAAAGTTTAGATGTTACTATACTACTACGGAAATTTAAACGGAATAGCTTATCCTTCACATTGAAATATCAATGTTTTCATTGACCAGTATTGTACTTTTTAGCATTGAATAGTACGACCATAAACTGGACGGCTACATTTTCTTTGATTTTTCAGAAAAATATACTAAAAGTATGTTTTCACTTGATCTTTCTTCTCGTACGTTTTTTAATTGCTTTCATTTTTGAAAAATTTTGTGTTCCTTTTCATAAGTTATTCGGGATTTAAATGGTAAAAGTAGTTTGGATATGGCGTTTGTCGCCTCAGCCTGAATATCTGCTGGTAATTTACTTATTTCGTTTTGAGCCATTTCTGGCTCCAATTCAATCAGCGATCGACATGAAAGAGAATTAAAAAATATTGACTCAAAACTGACAGCTAAAGAGACAGCTTTATTTTATTTGTCAAATTACATAGAAACCAGCGCCAACCCAGCACAATATTTTTTCTACTCGTAATAAATTCCTTGAAATAATAATTTCTGAATATTTTTTAAAACGTAACTCTCTATGGAAAAAATATTATTTTATACACGACGATAAAATTGCATTATCGTCTCCCGAAATTCTTTCGGAAGTTCTCATTTATTTTGTTCTTTGTGTTGTGCTGGTTTTTCTGGTGAATGTGTTTTTGCTGGTTTTTGGGAATCTGATGTTTGCTAAAAAAAATTCGTGACGGAACATTGAGAAAATGGTTTTTAGAGGGCGCCAAAATAAACGTTTTTTTGCTTATAATACCAGAAATATAAATTTTTCAGAAATAATATTTCTATACAAAATAAAAGTAGGCAAGATTAGGCTCTAGCGCTCGTTAAAGATTAACGCCAAAATCAATTTTTTTTCTTGAAAAGACCGGAACAAATTCCTTTATAAAAAGTTAGGTTGCAACAAATAAACTTAAAAAATAATACTGTTAGCATCATCATCATCATTTTCAGGTTATTCAACCATTTCCAATTATTGTGTAGCCTCCCTAACATATTTAGACACTCTCCTTGTAGTGGGGCCCATTGTTGACTATGCGGGCCCAAGTTATCCCTGCCAATTTCCTAATATCCTGGTTCCATCTCAGGTTTGGTCTTCTTTTAGGTCTCTTAATTCCTCCCATGCTGTAATTTTTGTTGTCCATCTGTTGTCCGTCCTTCTTGCCGGGTGTCCTGTCCATTACCACTGGAGGGATTTGATTCTATGGAGGGCATTTATTGTGAGTCTTTTGTCGTATCCACTCTATTCTTTTACGGTCTTTCTTGGTTATTCCCACCATATTTCGTTCCATTGCGCGTTGTGCAGGTTTTGCATGCATAGGTAGGGTTGCCAACCGTCCTCTATTCTAGAGGACAGTCCTCTTTTCTCGCGCGCATTGAAAAAGTCCTATTTTTTATATACTAAAGTCAAAACCTAAAAAATATTCGTCTATCGCCACAAAGGCTTTTAAAAATTTTTAATCTGTGTCTTTCGCTGCTCCCACTCGTTTGTACAGAAAAAAGCAAAACATGTTAAACTATTTTTTGTTTAATTACTGTTAGCTTATGCTTTAAAAAAATTTGAAAATGGTTTGTTTTATTTTAACAAGTTTTGAGTCCAAAGTAGGTAAATACTATACACTTGGGAAGGTTTCAAAAAATGTTTCGCCTGTGTCTCTTTTTTACTCTCTCGTCCTCTATTTTTTATTGTGAAAGTTGGCAACCCTATGCATAGGTCATGACTGGTAGTACACATTGGTAGGATCTTTTTAAATAAAACAACTTAAATATTCACAAAAACATCGTCTAAAAGACTTAATGTTTGTTTATAATCAAAACTTTGGGAGTTATATGCTCAAACATATTAAAGTACCAATAATTTAATCAAAATTTAACAAGATCGATCTAAATATTTATCCAGTTCCTTTTACTCCTTGTTTACGATTTAAATAAACAAGAACAGACTAGATTAAAACACCGAAATCACCATTAAAGTTACTTGCACTGATTGACTGGCATTAAGTACCGTAGTTTGATACAAGAAAAATATTAAAGTGTTTAAATTTTACTGTATGATTCATTCTAATTCTTTCACTTAGCGTATGAAAGTGGTACAACAAATTTATGTTATTTTATTTATTTATTTTGTATCTGTATTTTTTGGCAAAGGCCCAGCTAAAAAACGTCGAAACACCCACCGATAATATGCCAAAGAAAAAAAACAAAAGAAAATTTTAATGAAAAAAAAATATTCCGCTGATTCTAAAAACAATAGCAATTATCGGGTTTTAAATTACATTTCTAACATAACTAACAAAATGTCCAATAATTTCAATAAAATAGGATGTAAAACTATTAAAGTAAATAAAAGGAATTTAGGTCAAATTTTATTAAATAACAAAGACAAAACTAATGTCAAAAATAATTCGGGTGTATATAGGGTGGATTTCGATAATTGTGATGCCGTGTATGTACAGGGTGTCCTATTTTGGTTGAAATCATACGGTATCTCCGTTAT